GCACCCCTCCAGTGTGAATTTTTTAAAGTATTGTTTAGTGTAAATTTTTTGGACAGTACTTTATCTTAACAGCAAATAATTAGAACTAAGTTTAATATTTATATTTGTATATATACTAGGACTTGTTATCTAAAATACATGAATATTTAGTTTCACTTCTATTAGATGAATTCTGGATTCTTTTAAACTACACTATTAGTATTAACAGCATTTTGGCACTATATGAAATAAATAGAAAAAACTGGTATTGCCATTTTGCTTGCTTGAATATTGCAGTTACTAAATGACAATGAGCTACCTTGTATATATGAAAAGCAGCTTCAAATTATAGTAGAGATTGGAGGAAACTTACGGTTCCTCAAGGAAAAATGAGTTAGCAAGCAAAGGTTGGAATTGATACATTCATTTGCTTATTTAACCACCATTTTCTAGTGCCTGCCCCCTGCTAACGTGAAGTGCTTTAGACTTTGGGCGTACAGAGGAGTCCATGATGGACAAAAGTCCTTGCTGTCTTGCAACTTCTTTCTAGCAATGAAAGGATATTTACAGATTGCCACAAGTGCTGTTTAGAAAGAAACAGGAATGACCGACTACCTGGGGGAGGCAGGGCAGTTTGGGTGATGAGGATATCAGCATGAGGGGCACAGAAGAGAAGAGAGGGAGATGACTTTCAAACTTTGTATGCTCCTGGAATATTTTGAGAATTACAGTATAAATGTTGTTTGTGTGAAGCTTGTAGAGGCAGAAAATTTGTTGGGAACCGCTGATTTTCACATGAGAAAACTGAGGCACAGGTTTAAAAATGGATAAATTTTAACAATTCATGCAAGGTTGTAACTCATTTGTGAATGAGCCGGGACTGGGATCCAGTTTTCCTAGTTCCCATTCACATTCATTCATTGTTTCTTTTCCATAGTTTTTTTCAAGTGAACGTTTTTAGCCCCTCAGTCTGTGCCTTGCCAAAATTGTGTTTCATTGCCATATGGTGGATTGGAGGAAAGTCTTAAGGAGCTGCTTTCAGATGGGATGGGAGAAGCCTATGAGAAGCACACACAACCTTTCTTAGAATAGTTGGAATTAAATGGTTCAGAGACCTTGTGAATGAGAATTATGGCAGCAAGATCATTTCCTCTCCTGTAGACCATATGTTCTTACAAATCGAACATTGTGCTGGATTGGATTGAGGAGAACTTTTTGTTTGGTTTGGTTTTGTTTTGAAGCCTAAAAATTTTATTTTAATAGAGCTTTAGGTTTCACTGGATGAGGAAAGGTGCAGTTGGCACCTTGGGTTGGTGAGGAGAAGAGCTTGGTGGTTGGAGTGGTGAATCTGTAGTCACTTCCATAAGGCCTGTGATGACTGGAACATCCAGGCTGGTGTTGTTCACTTAGATTGGTGCCATGTGTGTCTACCTGATGACCCATCCCAGGGGGCATTCTCTGTCTGCATACCTCAGTGGCCCAGGCTCATGGTTTTTATTTGTGATGCATTTTAGGGTTAGTGGATTGAGGCCTTGCCTGTATCCCCTCAGTCCATTGCAGTGGAGAGCAGAGGTTGGACAGTTAGTAAATAACATAGTCTTTGCAGGACATACAGTTTCTGATATAATTTCAGATCTACCTGTGGCACGAAAGCAGCCATGGGCACTATGCCCATGAATGAGCTGGCTGTGTTCCAATAAAACTTTATTTGCACAAACAGGTAATGAGACAGATGGCTCTGGAGCCCTTGTATGCTAGACCCCTGCTATAGAATGATGAGGTAAGGTAGATGGGACGAGTTGAACTCCTCTAATAAATAAGAAATATGATGTTGGTGTTGTTAAAAATTTTATTTATCAGAGAGAAAGAGAGGGAGAGAGTATACGTGTGCAGGTGCACAAGCAAGGTGGGGGCAGAGGGAGAGAGGGAGAAGCAGATCCCCCGCTGAGCAGAGGGCCCAAGAAGGGCCTCCCAGGACCCTGAGATCATGACCCCAGTCGAAGGCAGACACATAGACGACTGAGCCACTCAGATGCCTCAACAAGAAATATTTTTGTTTCTCCATCTTTCTTTTAAAACTTTTGGGTTCTGTGAAATTACCATGAAACGAATGTGGCCGTTACAGCAGTCTGCAACTTGACCTTGACATACTAAAGTCAAACAAAATGTATTTTGATATTTCCCTAGAGTTATATTCTTGTTAGGTAGCTTTACCCTGTTTTAGGACAGAAGAAAATTTATTTCAGAAGTTCTTCAGAGGGGTTGCTCCATGTTTCATACTGTAAGCTCTTCAGTTGGATTTTAAACAAGACGAGTTATTGAGATACATTCTTTTTTTAGTCAAGCAAAACTGAAATTAAAATTTACGATTTGGGTAGATAATCAGAAGACTGTAATCCATCAAAGTTTGGGGGTTTTTTTGTAAAAAAACTTAACCCACATCTTTATTTGGGAAGACTATTTTTCTGCCTAATCATAAGTTAATAGGTGCAGCACCAGGTCAAGAAGTGGCATTGTTAATGAAATGAAATATTACCCTGCTGTTACTAACGGGGCTTCTGCAGAAATGTGGAAATGCCTAACTAATGAAATGTGAGAATTTAGTCTCCCTGTTGATTAGAACTGTGTAAAAACACGTTTGTGTACAATTGTGAAGAGAAATTGCCATAGATTTTCTACCTGTTTAGTGTTAGTGTGAAATGATTTGGGCCCCTGTTTTTATTGTTGGTGGGAAATTTGTTTTATCATAAAGCTGGTTAAATACATAAATATAATTTTTAGTAGGAATCTAAAAAAATTCCTGGTGGGCTGCAGTGTGAGATGAAAGTAAAAATTTAATTTCTCAACCTTAAACTAGTACTTTGTGCATTCATAGCATTTTAACAGAATTTGTAGAATGCAAATTTACAGGAATGGTGGATTTTCTTTGGTTACCGGAGTGCACACTTTAAAATGATTCTCTGTTATTCTTTTCGCTTGATCTGAAATGAGCCCCTGGAAGGTAGTCTTAAGTTCACTCCTGCACTTCGTGTTCTCTCTATCTGGATCCCTTCAATTATGTCTTTGAGGAGAAGCATCCCTTTTCCTTGACGAGGTGCCCCTCTGGCATCCTCTGCCCGTCCCCCAATTTCTTTCGCCGGTGTTCCTTCCCTTGCACCAGGCTCTTCCACTTACCAGCTGCCGTGTCCTCTCAGAGTCATGGCATCTCTCTGAGACCCCAACTTCCAAATTGGTAAACTGTCTTTGCTCTTTTTTTCTTTTCTTTATTTTGGTGAAGATTAAATATGTAACAGTAAAACACTAGACCAGCGCGGGGCTCACAGCAGTTGCGCAATAAATCAGCCTTGCCGTCGTTCTTACTTAAACCATCTTCCATTTTATCCTCTTGACTGCTTCATTCCCCTTTAACTACTAACTTGCTCCCGTTCTCTGCCTGGTAGGACATCCTGCTCACACTCAGCCTCCTGTGCTTTCTCTTTCCCTTCATTGCTGTCACACCTGCACCACAGAAACTTGCCATCTAGCTCCTGGCCCCATTCCGTGTGACGGCGCAGCCACCATACCGTGGCCTTTGCTTCCTTGTCATCCTCTACCCTGTCATTCTGGAGTCTGTGTGTTCGCCAAGTTTCTGTCACAAGGTGGGCCTGATTTTCCTTGACTGTTTGACTGCCTTTTCCGTTTGCTTCTCTGACTTCAGGTTCCCTTGGCAGGCCACATGGTTGTGTTCCCCAGGGTCTGTTGCTCCCTTCTCCCCCTGCACCCTCCCTCCACGATGTCCCCTACTCCTGGGGCTCCAGAAGCCCTCCTATGCAGATGATCTTAAATGGGTAGTTCTAAGCTGCCCTTTTGTTTCGAGCTTAAGGTTTACATCTTGAAAGGTCAGCTTGGAGGAGCTGTGGGCAACTCAAATTCAGCATATCAAATTCATCTTTTTATTGTGCCCAGCGAGCATCCGCAGGTTTCCCTCTAGCTGTTAGTAACAAAACCGTCTCCCCAGCCTCCATATTTTAGGGCTCCTCCTCTGCCACGTCTCTGCCTTGCTCCCCCATTGCCATAGCTGCATCTTCTCAGGTTTATCCTGTAAAGTATCTTTGCTTTCACAGTTCTTCTGTATATACATATGTAAAGAGAGAGATCTGGAAAAAAGTTCACCTGAGTGTTTGAAGTCTTTGATCTCTGGGTGGTGGGGATTTATACTGTTTCGATTTTGTTGTTTTTAACGGGCATCAGGATTTCCGTGCTCGAGTGCCCTCTCAGCCCTCCTGCATCCTGATCATCAGCCGGCGGGACTCGTCCTAGTTACACTCACACTTTCTTGCCTTTGCTCCTGGACTCAGAGCCTGTTCCGCTGGTTCTTTGCATCTCCCAGTGTCACTTTTCAGGGCTTCTCCCAAATAAGCTTTGCTTTAGTGCATTCATTTTCCCAACCCAATGTGCCGCCTTTCACAAGCTCTCTTTGCGGTGGCTTTTTGTGTTAATTCCTTTATTAGATTGTAAGCTCCAAGAGAGCAGAGAGTGGGTCTTACTCATCCTTTTCCATGTTTGGTTATAATCTCCCTGTTTTTCTTTGGGGACAACCCCTTTTCCCACTGGCTCTGGTTCTGGTGGGATGGTCAGTCAAAGCGTCCTGCCAAGAGGATGGGATGTTCTTCCCCTGGAATTTGGATTTTGAGTCATGGGATACAAGGACTGACAATGATTGGCGTGGATTCATCCTGGCCAAGGTGCTCTGAAGAAGCCATTTCTTAGTTCCTGCTTCCCAGATCCCTGCAGCTGCCCTGGTTCCAGAACTCTCCGAGGCCTGGTTCTTCAGATTTTCCTTCGTATCTGTGAGCTATCTCGTATCCTTACACTAAATGTCTCTCTCTTTAAATTTTAAGATAGCTAGACAGTTTCTGTTGCTTTTTTTCCCTACCAATAGAGCTGTTATGATTGGAACTGACCAGACTTAATCATTGTAGTTCATATATTGATTCTGATACGTTTTTTTCTTCTCTTTAAAAATGAAAACAAAAAAACAGCCAGAGACTGCTGCTGCTTTGAAACGTACGCTAGAAGCCCTGATGGACAGAGGGGCGATAGTGAGGAACTTGGAAAATCTGGGTGACCGAGCGCTGCCTTATAAGATTTCCGCCCACAGCCAGCAGCACAGAAGAGGAGGGTAAGTGTCTTCACGAACCTCAACAAATGGCTTTGGTAGGCTGTTAAGAATGTGTTTAGTTCACGTTGGAAATGATGATAATTTCTCAGGAGATCTCTGTTGCACCAGGTGGCCTGTGGGTTCATACTCTCGTGGTGTTGTGATTTAAATGGGTGCCAGTATAGCTGGTCCATAATAAACCATAACCAGAGTACAGAAACAGGTCATGCGAGGAGCAACAGGTGTATAAGCTTTTGATGGCGGGAAACTTTTCTTGTCAACCTACGCACTGTTTCCTCCTGACATTTCTTCAGCTTTGCCTTTATAGCGCCTCAGTGAGCAATGTGCTGTCCACACACTCGGTGCATCCTTTGTAAATAATGCGGGTTGTAGGTAACAAGCACAAGGTGCTGGGAGTAATGCGTTTAATCAGCACCTGACTCACAGTAGAGAAATGGTTTTATGTATGCCAAACAATAATCACAATTCCCTGTTACGAAATTTTTTTCTCCCAAAAGTGTATAGCACCTTCCTCAAACATGTCGAAGATTTGATTCTGTAGCAGTAACGGTCCTGGTAGAAATTCGTTGATACCAGTTTGCTTGTTGAGTTGATCTGAAGCTTCTCTGACTCCTCATGATGTTATTTTTACACACATAATTTCTGGTTTGGAGGAGAAACCTTCTGATACTGTTGAGTTTCCTAGAAGTACTGATAGAGAAGATGGAAATCAGTGTTTAGTAGTGGGGAAGTTCAGGAGCTGAAGACTCCATTCTCCCACTGGTGCTTGCCAGCTGTGTGGCCTTCACCAAGTCTTCAACTTCTCTGATTCCTGTTTCCTTGGATACTGAACTCAGGTGGTCATTCTCCATCCTTGTTGTCGTGGGGATCAAATGAGATCATTGCTCGATGTGCTGTAGGGATGGTGCCGCTGCTGTCCACGCAGAGCCGGGGGTCTGTGCCAGTGCCGGCCACGGGAGAGGCCTGCGTGCGGTCCCACCTCACACTGCGGTTAAGCCTCTGCCAATGTGCGGCACATACTGCAGATCTCCTCTTCTGATTGCTTCACCTTGTTCTGTGCTGGCGTTCAGCTTCTTGAGAACACCTCTGAAGAGAGTGCCTGCGCCGTCGCTAGGCAACTTGAAATGCACAGTGGCCATTCCTCTTCCACGATTGGAAGAGAGAGGATGGAGATTGCGTGTGTAACATTTTTTTTTAACTTAACCACAAAAGGGTTTCATTTTAACAGCAAAGCCATGAATCCTTTTGCCTTTTTGTTCAGAGAGGAGCATGTAAAATTTAGCTAAGGATTTTTAGCCAGGTTCTTGGTTGGAAAGCCCTGAACAGGAAGAGAAACCCCTTCCCTCATTCATGTGCTTTCAGGGATGTGCACTAGGAGTGCTTTCTTCTGCCCCTTTTCCAAGGAGAATTTGTTGAGGGTTGGTGTGACCAGCATTCCAGAATTTGCACTTCTTGCAAGTGCTTGGTTAGTGCTGCTGCTGCTGTCTGAGGACCACACTTTGAGAACTGCTGTGTTGACTCATTAGTTGTCAGGCCTCTGTGTGCGGTGCTGGATTGGGTGGTGCTGTTTTTCTTTTGTGGATGGAATAAATTCAGATCCTGGAAGAACCCCCCCCGGAACTAAGCCCAAACTGCTGAAACACTTAGCCCCACGTTCCGGATTCCCGACAAGGGGCATGTGCCCCACCAAGGACTCTTGCTGTCACTTTGTTCATTCACATTTAACGATTTTATCTCTGGTCCTTTTACTCTCAGACTCCTCAGCAAAGGAGGAGTAACATTCGTAAAGGGTAATATATATGTGTATTGTATATAGACACAGGACCTCCCTCCTAGTTGGGGAGGTTCATGGTTTAAGCTTGGTTTTCTGGTATTAATCAATGTCTGGTATGTATTTGTTTAAGGTAGCGTTTTCCAAAGTGTGGTCTCTGAAATACTAGTTAGACAGACATACTCTACCAAAAAATGGTGTGTGTGTGTGTGTGTGTGTGTGTGAGAGAGAGAGAGCGAGAGAGAGCGAGCGTAAGCAATTAGATACGGGATCCTTTGGAGAGTCTGATCCCTTCTGGAGATGCGCAACGTATGTGAGTGTAATAATGGTGAGAAGCCCTTCAGTAAGTTGCCTTCATTTATCAACTTTGACTGTTACCTTTTATTTTTATAACACTCATTACTATTCTTCACAGTGACTTTCGATTAAAGAGGACATGAGAGATGAGAGGCTAATGTATTTTGGAGTTACCGGGGGGTAAAGATTTAAACTTGAGTGGTGTGTCAGATGTCTGTAGTGTGGAGCTTAAGGGTAGTCTGATATTCTCCTGACTTCAGCCAGCTCTCCCCTCGGGTCACTCCCAGCCATGATGTTTCTACCAGGCTTTTTGTGCATTTGGTAAGGCCTGTGTGTGCCTTGCACACAGCCACATCAGGGGTCACAAACATGTATTAAGTGGATTATATGCCAGGATTATGTGCTGGGTGCTGGAAAGGCTCAATTTTTTGAAGTGATTAAGAAGAAACAGCGGACTTGTTTGTTGTAAACTTAGCATTCGAAAGTTTTTAACTCTTGGAACATCCCTGGAGGCATGGTATATATCTATAATTTCGGTGAGGCACTGGTTTGAGTCCTGGGGTTGGTATGTGAGAGCCAGTTGTTCTTACCTGACTAACGAGTGAGCCTAGATGTCCTCCAAGAATGCACATCACGCTGTGGTACTGTTGGTATTATGTGTTTGTTGTTCTTACATTTTATGGGAGGAAATGTCTATCCTGGTGGTATTCCTAGGTCTCTGGATGGTTCTTGTGATCTGTTGTGGTTCCTGGTCACAGGGAGTTTTCCGTTGAGTCAGGGACATGCCTGCACATTGCTGAGCTAGGCACTGGCCAGAGAGATACCCGGGCAGGGGCCTGGCACAGCAGTGACCACCTGGCCTGGCTGACAGCCCGTCTCCGCCACGGTTACTTCCCGTGTTGTTGGGGGATTGCCTCTGTCCTTCTCCATCCTTGCCCGGGTGGGTAGAAAAGTACATAGGTAGGAGAGATACTGCTGCCTCAGGGTTATGTGGGGGGTCTCCCCAGGGGAGGAGGTGGTACCTGGTGTTTATTGCTGTATCAGGTCTCTGACCAGTATATGCCAAAAAATCAAGTACGCGTGTGGTATTCCACATATTAGTTAAGTTGTGCCCCAGGTGATGTGAATTAGACTAGGAAGGAGTTAACCAGATGTCCCCTTTGCTCTTTGGGCACGTTGGGGTGGTTGGGAGGTTTGGGTCTTCTGGACCAGATTCTAGACGGAGGATTTGGCCTTACTAAACACCTGTTGTCTCTAGACAGTGTCGGGAAATGATTGGAGCCTGACGCAGGTTGGGGGGAGGCAGGTGGGGGGTGGGTCTTACACGCTTTCTCAGCTCTGGATTTGCTTTGGTCTCCTGGGGACCCGTTGATTTTCCCTACTTGGTACCTTCAGATGCTTACCTTTATCAACTCGGAGCAAGGGAGGGTTGGCGTGGAAGATGCTTACTGTAGACCTCAGAGTCTGAAAGGTGACGATGTGACGTGCAGAGGGGAGCAGTGGTGGGCTGGCTAAAGAGGGACAGGCATTTTCTGAGTCGTGGTGTCAGGCGCCGGCTGCCAGAAGCGCTCTGGTGTCAGACTTCAGGGCTGCCCGGACTAGCGTAAGGCTCTCTCTCCACTAGATGGGGCTGGGCTGAGACTTAGCGGGCTTTCTGGTAGAGGAGAGACAGCCGTAGTACACACTGTGGTCCATAGTTCCGTGCTGGGCTTGTGCTTGTTTGGAAAAGGATGCCCCCGACGGGCTTTGGCCGTTCCTAGCAGGTCCGATTTTACTGCGTGGAGATGGAACTTAGTGCAGAAGGCGTGTGTGAAGGAACTCTTACGTGCTGAAGGAGGTTTTTCTTGCCTGTTTTGTCCCTTTCTCCATTCTCTTCTCTTTCGAAACGTGAATAGGTGCTTATAAGATCTGCTGGCCTACATGTAAGATGCCCTTCTATTTACGGGTAAGCGGAGTGATAAAAATAACTGGCTCTGTGGTGAATCATGGAATTTTACTGACTCGCTCCCCAAACGTGTCTGCAGCTTTACTCCAAGAGAGCTGGCACCTGCTCTAGACGGGATTGAGGCTTCTCTGTAGTTTTCCTGTTAGCTGACGTTTCCATGTTCTCGTGCTTTCCTGCCCGCAGTAGGCCCAGGCCAGCCTCGCTTTCCTGCCCGCAGTAGGCCCAGGCCAGCCTCCTGACCCCGTTCCTGTGCGCAAAGGTGCTCCACAGCTGGGTTTCAAGGCAGAGCTGCTGTGGCCTTGGAAGGGTTCCTTTTAGTGGCAGCGTCTCGAGGTTTGTAAGAGTTCTCCACTAGGTTTAGTGGTTTTAAAAATGTATGAGACCCAACAGATATAAAAGGAAATAGGGCTTTTCCATGCAGAGGGTTCCTTGGTTTTAAGGTGAAGAATTCACTGTCTCAGTGAAGTCTGAAGCCAGCAAGGTTTAACTGATACGGTCTGGAAACTGGCATTCAGAAGGATCTGTTTCCTCCCATCCGAAAGGCTGGAAGATGCTGGAAGATGCTTCATGGCGTCAAATCCCTCCCATCCCCCTCCTCCACCCCCCACCCACCGTGAGCCACTGAGCGCTTCAGTGGAAATTTCCACTTGTCTGCTAGGGGGAAGGCGAGGCTGTGAGTGTGCGACTGTGTCTGAGAGAAACAGAAACAAAGACTATCACTCAAATTCAGGCAGGCGCTTTTACGCCAAACTTGTAAATAACAGGGTTAAGACAAAAGTGAAATAAAAAACAAATAATGACCTTTAAGTGTAGGAACACTGCATGGAGACACATATCTTCCCTCAACAACCTGGGGGCAGGCGGGGGTGGGGGGTAGGTGGTGACAGCTTAGGCAGAAGGTGACTGAGGGAGACTGGGGCTGGGACCCAGAGAGGAGGAGTGAAAGGCCAGGGAGAGCTGCGGGCGCCCTCGGCAAGCCCGTGCTGT